AAAAAAAAAAAAACGGCCTACTCCTCATGTTTGTTGACGATCTTTCTCTCTCTTTCTCTTTCTTGTAGTTCAGTGAAAACTGTAATTTAACGATGTCGTTACTCGGCTCCCCTCCTCCGTTCGGTCCTCTGTGGGACCATCTGACTGTTGAATGAATCTTGAGAGGGTTCTGTTCCGAAATGATCGCTGTTCTGTTTGTTGATGAGCATGATCAACTTATATAAGCTCCCGAAATTCGTGACACTGAGCCATGTAGCAGCAGCAGCATCATGGGCTTCATCCTGTCTTTATGTCTGTTGTGGATTTTACAGCGTAATAAATCCATAAATCTGAAATAGTTCAACCAGAAGAGAGAAGCAAGGAGGTTGTTTTTCTTTCTTTTCTTTTTTTTTTTGGCATTTAACTTTGGTTTAAAGGTGGAGTCTGCGATTCTGGAGAAAGATTATTCATATTTAGCTAGTTAGCATGTTTAGCTAGTTAGCATGTGCCAGATTTAGCAATCCTGCACAAGCTTGAAGGTGCACAGGACACAGTGGAATAATGAATCAGTCAGAGACACGAAACACACAAAGCAGTTGCATCACTGATTGTCTGCAGGTGGCGCAAGTGTCACAGTTACAGCAGCTGTTTCTTGCCGTAGATGGCAAACATTGACAGTTAAGCATTGTCAGTGGACAATTTAAATAATGTATCAGAATCGATGCAGCAGAACCAGAGGAATCATCGGTTTTCTTGTCACAACCTGTTGCCTACATAACTCACATTTTGATCATTAGCATTTCACTCAGATATTATGTGTGTCTCATGTAGCCTGGAGCTGTTAGCTTCAAGGAGAGTGGAGGAAGAGCTTCTAATACCAGGGTTTTGTTTTTATTCATATTTCAACTTATAGTCTGAAGCTGGACCTCTAGAACTTTCAATAAACCTTTATTCATACATATATTTCCCAAAACCTATAACTTAATGTGCATCTTTGTGTTTAAAAGTAAACTGTCTTGTCTGTGAGTGGTGCAGTTTCGACACAGACTGCGAGTCCACATCTGGAACTTTGTATGTTTTTCACCGTGTTTCTCATTTTGGAACAGAACTCTGAGTTTTTTGTGACAGATTGCAATATATGATTACTGTGCAGTATTTGAGAAAAATGTCTTAGCTACATGTCACTGGAGCGCAGTGACTCGAGTGATCTCAACAGTGTGTAGTTGGACTAGAAATAAAGTCACGATGTCCAGCTAGTTCTCAACGTGGGCATTTTTGTATTATGCGCTGTATGGCATTCAGAATTGCTGCTAATGATGGTAGAAATGGACATTTGTGTTATGACAGAGCTACCTATCAGCTGTATGTGTGTGTGTGTATGTGTGCGTGTGTGATTTTAAATTCTCTGTTGTGTGTTGATATTACCTCCCTTATTTAACCGATCATGTCTTCATAAGCTGTTGCTTTTGTTTCTGGCCCGTTCAACCGACGTGTCGCTGTGATGGAGGGAGGAGGAGAGAGAAAGAAACACAAACCAGTCTGTCTCTGTTCTGTGTGTGTATGATATGAACTCATTTACTGTAATAAAGTGATGAAACTGTGTTCAGAGCATCGGCGCTGTTTCTCTTCTCTGACTCTTGTAAAGGTTAAATCCAGCTGGGATTTGGATTTTCTGTGTACACAAGAAACAAAAAATATAAAACATTCATACATGAATGTCCATGTGATGAACTCCAGGTGCTAAACCCAAAATATGTGCAAGTTATCATCTGGAAAAGTAATAGTCTGCACATTAGCATAGATGCTAACAAAAAACATGAATAAACCCAAATACAACAAAAGATGTCATTTTTGTCTTTTCTCAGATGTTGTAGAGGCCTTGTACAGAAATTATAGGGTTCTCAATATATTAAAAGTATGTTTTTAGGTAAATGTAATATTGCAGTTTTGGCCCCAGTTGGTAGCAGAATCTGTATTTGTTGTGAGATTTTTCTGAACAAATATTCAGAATAATAAGAGCTCATTTACAGAGCTGCTTGATTATGTAGCTCTGTAGGTATCAATAATACCAGAAAACATGTTAATAATAGTCATTTAATCATTCAAAAATAGAAATGTACTGAAGTGCTTCATCCCGGTGTTCAGCAATGTTCATTTGCATTAATCGTCCCAGAGACATTTACAGTCTTTAGTCATCTAGTGGCTGTAATTTGTGTTGCTGTTCAGTGTTACATCGAAGCCATTTAAACGCAGAAAGAGAATATTTAATGGGAAAAAAATCAAAATGTTTTTTTTTTTTTTTAGTTTTTGTTAGGGTTGTAATTAACGACAAGAGAGGTATTTTAAATTTTAATTAAACCTTAAACTGTTGGATTTGTTGATTCTGAAAAGCCATAAATGTTGCATCTTATCCAAATTTTCACCCAAATGCATACTTAAAAACTTGATTTTTTAGAATACACAATACAGTGTAATGAAGCTGAAGAAACTAAACTAAAGCTTAAACTATTGATCTTGACATTTTTGTTTTGTGTTCATAAGACACTAAACAAAATGAATGCCAAAATTATCTTCAGGGCAGACAGACATAACTGATGGATCGACATAGTAAGACTGCTACATTATGGACTAAATTATATGTTTATAAATGTTTATATATGTTATAAATGTCATACTTTAGTTATTCCGTGGTTGTTTCTTTCCGCCTGTCTGTCCTGTTTTACCTGCAGGTGAAGCTGCAGCTCCGCTCCTGTCCATCAGGGGGCGCCGCTCGGTTCACTCGCGGGTTCAACTTCCTCAAAGTTTTCTCTGTCACTCGGAAAAGACAACGACAAAGGAGCGCAGACAGAGTCGAATCTCGAAGGTAAATCCTCCTAAAAACGAAGTATTTCTTTCTATTTCACCGCTGTAACTCATTTATGTGCTGCCAAACGTTGAGTTTTATTCGAAACTTCTTCTTTTTCCTACGACAACGCCGTGTTGTTCAGTAATTCGGGGTCACGTAATTGTAGATTCCTTAGCTAGCCGAGATAGCGGCGTTAGCAAGGCGGCGCCGGTTGAGGAAAGGCCTGTTTGGACGACGCTAACAGTTTCTATTAAACCTGTTGTTTTATGTTGGTTTCGCTGGGAAACGACACCGGAGGTGTAGCTGTGGATTACTATAATCAACCAGCTAGTACGTTACAGTTAACTAGCAGTTGTTCTACTTGTTGTATCGTGAGCGGCTAACTGTATGCTAACTGCAGGCTAGCTGCTCACAGTCGCCGCTGCAGTGTTGTGATATATTTTGAAGGATTTAAAGGGTTAAAACAGGTAAATTAACGACAACAGCCAGTTTAGGAAGTCAATGCTGGTAGTTAGTTTGTGGTAAAGTTAGCAGTCAGCAGAATGTAGTTGACATTAAGCTCATGCAAACGTTTGTTTAGTTCGTATTTCTCACTGCATCATTTCTGTGAGCACGTCTCGGTTGGTATTGAGCAGCAATGGAAGGAAAGTAATTGTGTTTACTTCAGGATTTAAAGTGCAAAATATTCTCAGTAAATACATAATGGTAACTGAGATGAGGCTGACAGTGTCTTACATAATTCAAATGAGGGCCATCCCGACCTACTGCAATATAAATAATTTCCCGGAATGCAACATAGATTAGTGTAAAAATAAAATTCGAAAATGTGCAGCATGAGTATGTCTGGTGTTCTTAGTTTAAGTATATTTAGATACTGGGAATTCTGTACCTTTTATAACCCTGTGAGACCTAAAAAGGAAAAAGAGTGAAAGATGCAGTGTTATATTTATATTTTCTACCAGGAAACCAGCAGCTTCTTTAAAGCAGGTGTTTGCGCTTTAAGAAACAGCCGGGCTGCTTTATGGTGGGAAAAAAAAAAGATATTGTGATATGACAAAATACGTGAGTTTTTGCCAGATGATCTGAATAACTTTGTACGAAAAGAAATCAACATTGCAGAATGATTTGGGTGATTTTGTAGGTGAGTGCATCTAAATAAGTCACATCCTGTCAGCTGCACTCAGCTGGCAGTTTATTAGGTGCATCTACCTCAAACTTAAGCAGCCTTGTGTTTAATTTCATCAAGGTTATGATACTCAGTTTTTGTGAACTAACTTAGAGAAGTGGTGATTAATCTGTATGGTCATTTATGAGGTGCTGTGCTGCATTATACTGACTGGTGGTTCTGTTTTGTTGTTCTGGGTTGTTAAACTGAAAATGATTGTCCTACTGAACGTTTTAGAGAAGAGCTGCTGCTTTTCTTCGTGTTTGTGTGACTGAGCTAGTTTAGGCTGTATGTCAAACAAACAAACAGATTCAAATACCTAACTTCAGGGTTTTTTTTTTTTTTTTGGAAATTGCATAATGAAAGTATCTCTTAGTTGTAACCCTGATAAGCAACGGAAACCCCAGCCACTAAATGAGTATAAAGTTGAATCACACTTCTGTATTGCAATAAACAAACAATGAACTGTTTATCTTCATTAACACTGGATTTATTTCTGGGCTGATGTGATAAACAGCATCAGTTTTATCTTAGTGCACCTGATAAACTTCCAGTTCTGCAAACATCCTTCTTTACATTTGCTGAGATATAATCTGCAGGGATTTGTTCTCACACACCATTATGTGTTCTGTGGTGGCAGCCAGAAAAAGAACATTTATTGTAGGGACTTGGTTTTGTGCATGTTGTGTTAAAACACCAAACTGTTGCCACAAATGTGGAAGTGTGGTGTATATTGTGTGTTACAGCATTAATATGAATTGGAACTGAGATAGCAGGCAAATATTTGAATATCAAAATTGCCATCTGGATACCACCACAACGACTGAATATTCAGCCCTAGTAGTCTGGTCATGTTTTAGGTCAGATTGGGATGTTTAATCATGTCAACACGGCAGGAAAGAGAAAACAATACCATTTAATTTAGTTTTAAGTCTTTTATACAGTTTGAAGCGAGGGATGTAACCGGGTTCTTCAGTTAATCTTTAGCAGTTTCATGGTCTGACTGTATTCTTTGTATTGTGGTGTCATTGACAGTGAGTCCAGATTATTGCTCGGTCGAGTCACTGCACCTTCTTGTCACGTCCTTAAACATATTTCAATGTATTTCTGTTGTTATGTGAGGAAACTGTGGTAAAAGCTTGGGACTTTAGAAGCAGAGAAATCGTCTTATTCTAAGCGGCTACGTTTGTTTTTCTCCTTGCAGGTCGAAGCTGAGGGCCATGGCTCGTGGGCAGCAGAAGATTCAGTCCCAGCAAAAGAACGCCAAGAAGGCAGCAGAGAAGAAGAAATCTCAGGGCGCCGACCAGAAGACTGCGGCTAAAGCAGCGCTGGTCCACACCTGCCCCGTCTGCCGGGTGAGTCTGAGGCACCGACACCAGCCGAATACTGATCAGGTTCAGTTGGTGCTTTGAGGTTTTTCCACTGAGGAGTCAAAGATCTTCTCCTCAAACTAACATTAAACGTTTCTCTGCACAGCAATTCAAACATTTACACGCTTCTAGACTTTCTGTAGGTAATTTGTTGCAGCGATTAACCTTTGAAGAACGTGATTTTCACAGACTCAGCGGCTACACAGAGATACAGCTCAGAGTTGTAAATGAAGACCTCCACTGTTTAGAAGAGGCAGTTTCACATCTTGTTCTGCTCGGCTCAATTTTAGGTTGTGAAAGCGTTAGGCTAGATTAATTACTGCTTTTGTTGATGAATCAGTGGCTACCTGTAGGAACTGTATATGTATAAAGAAACTTCTGCTAATCACAGATCTTAGATGGAGGATTCAAATCAATGAGGATACAATAATCTCAGACTAGTTATTTATCAGATTTAAATAGTTGATCACTTGTGTGTGTTTTTATTAACTACTGCATGTTCCTCAAATCATTCGGCCACAGTCAGAAGTCTTAGAAACGTTGAACTAACCAGTCCAGCAGTTTGCTAAACATTAACTTGACATGATCATGTTTTGTTTACTTGATGATTGTGGCTGTTGAGGATCTCGTCATTTTGTTGTCTTGTGTTTCCAGATAAGTTGAACTCATTCCTTGATTTTTCTTCGTTATTTAGACCCAGATGCCCGACCCAAAAACCTTCAAGCAGCACTTTGAGAGCAAACATCCCAAGTCCCCGATGCCTCCTGAGCTGGCAGACGTTCAGGCATAAAGACCTGCTGACTGGACCTGAACCTGGGTATGTACACCTGGACTGCTTTGATGGTTGTAGTAACATCTGATTCTTCTTTTAGTGTTCTGTGTTCTTAAAGCTTTAGGTTGGGTTGCACCAACAAAGATTCATTTACGGTTAGTTCAAAGTACAGTTTAGTAAAACAACGTTTAAAATGAGTGAATCCAGATTTATAATTCAACAGACAATTCAAAACTATCTTTCACTAAGTAGTTCTAAGTTTATGGACGTAATCCAAAATTAAATAGAGTTTTAGCAATATTTACTTAAAGTAAAACAAATTAGTACTTAAATAAGACATAAATTTGCTCGCTGCCAGAATATGTACGTACAGAAAAGGAGTGCAGACGTGAGAGAAATTTAAAAGCATCATAAAAGTTAATTGTCTCTCAATTTTCTTTGATTATCTTCTTCCCCTCAATTGTTTTTTTTTTAATGTATTTGGTTTTTTGAAATCCCTAAAATGACCATTTATCAAAGCAAGAAACCAAAAATAAGCAGAAAATGGAAATATTGCATAGAAATTGCTTTATTGTAAATCTCTTATTCAGAAAAAACAAATCAAAAACCATTTGCATTAGATCTTAAAAAAAAAACAATGAATTCTGTGCTCCTTAGTGTGTCAGAAAAACCTCGACTAACTCAGCTGCCATTAGTTCAAAAAAATGTGTGACTTTTTAGGTTGAACTGCAGGCTGAGTTTAGACAGAGCAGAAAGAAGAGACTTGGAGGAAAATAAAACATTTTGGATCAATAAAATGAAAGCAGCATGGATTTAAAATGATATACAAGAGGAGCAGGTTGTTTGAAGACACATTCAGCTGGTGGAACATCTCTCTACAACCAATGAGTAGTGTGATGAGTCAGGAGAAGTTGTAGAAATAGAAGTAGTGAAATATCTAGAGTATTTAGAGCCAACATCTTTTCCTGTATAGATAAAAACTGATGGGCACGTGAAAAAAAAGTTGTACATCTTGATTCCAGTTGTTTTAAGTTTGTAAAACAAATAATCAAAAAAATTTCACTTTGGCTTTTGTGTTTTTTATGATTTATGGCATTCTAACTTCTAGTCATGGTTGTTCTGCTTCCGTAGCGATGCAGGACTTTATGTTGCAGTGAAAAACGAACCCACAGCGATTGAAAATGTAACAGGAGCAAGTGGATCAAATTTCAATTTGTAGTTTAAAGTGTTGGTGCAACATAATTAAATTTAATTCAGGTTTAGAGTAAAGCTTAACTTTCTGATAGTTTTTAGTTACACTGAGTTTAAACGTGAATCGTTTTTGGTGCAACCCAGCGTAAGTGTTGAGCTGAAACAACAAAGACATGAGCAACAGTTTCTTGCAAAAGCAGTCTTTTGAGGAAAAAGTGAATCAGAACATTAACTGGAATAAACTCATGTGATCACTGAAAATACAAACAAAACTCTAAAACCAACCCAAACTGTTGCTTACAGATACACAGTGACCATGGACTGAACGGTGAATCACAGCGCCTGAAGGATGTCGAGCTCTGGGACCTGTCAGTATTCACGGACGTCGGGTCGGGTCGGGGTGGATGTGTGTATGTGCTGTGTACGTATGTGTGTGTTCGTGTCAGAGAAAACAGTAATGATGGGGCAGACGTACACCAGCAGCCCATTTTTTATATTTATTGTGTACCTAACTACCTTGGTATTCCAGATAAGAGGGGAGGGGAGATTCCCAGAAGCAGAACCAGTGACTAATGACTAGATCTGAAAAAGCTACAATGGAAACTTAACCAGATATTTCTGAGCGTGTGGTTAGCTGACAGCCTGAAACACTGTCGTCCGGAGGAAGAGGCGACACACTTCACTGTAGACTACATCACTCACACACACACACACACGGACGCGGCACCGCTGTCGGGTTAAAACCAGTCGTTTCAGTTTGCACAACGACGTTTTCATGACCACTGGCTTCTCAGAAACAAAGCAGTTTATCAGTTGATCCGACCCCACAGCTCTGCCTCGTCTGTGCTGCTGCTGCTCCGCACCAGTAACACCTACAACAGTACCTCACGTTACACCACACAACAACAACTCTATTGTTTTTTTTTTTAATTTACTCCAAATTTCTTCCACTTCTACCCGTTTCAGCGTCGTCCCTTCCAGGACATGTTACCTTGGCAATAAACCCATCTTTGTCCCCGCTTCGGTTAAACCAGGACCAGATTTGTTTTGTAACCCTGATTTTTCTAACGCACACAGTTCTGTGCTCATTTTGATGCTTTCGGCTGTTAGTTTGAAGAAAATGTAAGTCGCCCCGATGACTGAGAGTGAAATTATTTAGTTGAAGTAACTGCCAACATGACTGATTGTTTTGTTTTGTTTTCTTCTTACATTCACTAGCTGGCAAAAAGATTCAGCCAATTTGCTTTCACTGTACCTTTATTCTTTTTTTTTTTACCCTTTTCAATAAATTGAACTATGTATTTAATGTGACCCGGCTTCTCGGCTGACTTTGTTGCACTTGACGAGGTGATAACATACATGAGAGCCTGCAGGTGTGTTGTGTATTTGTAGAAGTAGAATGAATCTGATTGTTTTCACTGCTTCACCTTGTTGTCTGACTCGAGCTGTTCAAAGCCACCAGACTCCGTTTAAAGAACAAGTTTCAACAGGAAAAATGAAAGCAGTGAAAATATTTTAAATAAACAGACACTGATTCTTCTTCTTCTTCTTTGGGAGCTGAAATACATTTTTGCTGTTGAGTCCGTCCACAGCCGGTTCTTCTGTCGTCTGCTCCTGACCGACTGTTATCTGCTGTAAGTAATAAACTGTGAATAAGAACCTCACTTCACAGAAACAAAACTTTCAGTTTTAGCTCCATAGAATAGTCTGTTATCGATAAAGCATCAGAAAAACTAAAAGGAGCTGCTGAAAAATCTTCTGTTGGTTGTTTACTGTGGTGAGAAGGAGGAAAAGATTTCAGTAGTTTTTGTTCTATTTAACTTTTTGTGAGCGTTAAGTCACAAAATGTAACTTTGATTATGAACCTCATGGACACATGTTGCTGTTCTGCTCGGAGGACTTCTGTTACATACATGTGCACCAGAAAGACGTCTACATGTTTTGCACATGTGCTCTTGTCTCATAGTTGCCGTGCAGATCAAGAAATTTACATCCATTGCTGTTTGTGGACGCTGGAGCAGCAGCGTTACAAGTGACAGTTGGGCCAGTGTTTGTCCACACAATTTAAATTTTATTATCTGCATGAGTCTGTATCATAAATGCTACAAAGGCAGTAATGCACTATTTTCTAGTCCATGCACACAGCCGTGCTTGCGGATACAGAAAGTATAACTCTGGCCTGATACATGTAAAGCTAGTGTTAAAGCGAGAATCTGCAATGATGTAAATGGCCTCTACAGTAGCCTGCATGCATAGAAATACATCAAAGCCAATCTGCTGTGTTCGTATAGAGCGTTGACGCCAAGCAGACTAGAAAGTATAACAACTGTGACTCTGTGCATACGTCCATGAGTAAGTAATCGACTGTATCATGGCCTTAAATATGACATTTGTTCTCCTTATTCACAGTCCAGCTGCAGATATAACCAGAAACAAAGGACAAGACACATTTTTATTAATGGAATACATTTTAATAATCTCTTCATATACATTTTTGTGTTCCAACAACAGTAGTGCTGTGAGTTCATCTCCTCCTTCTAACAAATCAGGCATCACTAATGGTACCTTCTACCATCCAATATCATTTGCCTTTCTGTCGTTAAACACTGAACCTGTGATAGACTGAAGTCCGTGTGGTTTGATGCTGGTGAGTCAAATTCTATAAAAACTGTCTGAATTTAAATGCAGATTTTGGAATCCGTGAACTCTGAAGGGACAGTTTGGTTTCTTTAGCGTGGGGTTATATGAGGTGCTCATCCAGAGTCTGTTCTACCTGCAGGACGTCTAGCAGCAGGAAGCTCAGCAGTGTAACGCTGTATGTAGGATATTCTCACCACTTCACCTGACTGTCAGACATCCATTTCTTTTAAAATTACATTTTCCAAGCTGTAGAACTTCTGTATTTCAGATGCAGTGCACTGTGCAGGACTAAAGAAGTTCTTTTGATGAGAAAATGTCAAACCAAAAGAAAAGGGCGAAGTGGTGAGAATAATCTAAATATAGCGAACACTGATGTAGTTTCTCTGTTCACAGCAGGACGTCGCTGAGCTTCACTTTAACCTCATGCAACCCCACGGCAAAGACACTAAACTTTCCTCTAAACTCTTCAGAAGTTGACAGTTCAGACGTGGATCCTGAGTCCGACGACCTCATAGGCAGCCGCAGGTCTTCACCACCATGTTCCGGTGCTTTTTCAGGATCACGTTGTTGTTGTCGTCGTAGAACAGGACGGAGATCGGGCTGAGCTTCGTCGGGGCGCAGCACGCTTTAGGAACCTCGTCAGGCTTCAGGAGGTGGACCTGCAGCCAAGGTGTTCACAGGGTTAGGTTCCATACAGAGCAGCAGGGGAGCTACTCAGGGCTTCTATTTACTTACAGATAATAATACAGCAGTGCAGAAAAATACTCTATTAGAAGTAAAAGGCCTGCGTTTCAAGTCCTACTTAAAAAATCCATCACTCACGTATTATTGTATA